CATTTTGCGACGCCATGCCATACCCAGTGGACAGTGCTTGATTAGAGCCAATTTCATCCTACAACAGGACAATGACCCTAGCCACACCTCCAAATTGTGCAAGAACTAAACCTAAATCCCTACAAACACTCTGGTTCCCTCAGGGCAGCCAAACGGTTGCCTCTGAGCATCCCAAAGACAAAATGCAAGCTCAAGGGAGACCTTGGCGTTGCAGCAGCAGTTCCTAAGTTGAGGAGGCCCTTTCAATTCGTCATAAGACAGGCCTCCTCACTTTCTCCTGTTCAGTCCACTTTTTTTTTACCCATATGTTCTCCCTGGCCTTTAGCAACACCTTAGAAGTTGACTTTCCAACTTATTTAAATGGTTTTACTATTAACTTTCACACTATTTATTTCTATCTTTCTTTATTTTATTGATTCTATTATCCTTTTTTGGTGCTTTGATGCTTTATTATTTCAGATCTTTTTGATTTTAATGTTGGTTTAATGTAAGATGTTTTTACTTTGTGTACAAAACCTTGGTCTTGTGGATGTTGTAAGTGCTGTATGAAAAAAGCTGGTAACGTGTGGTACTCTTCACATTAATGCATAACACAGCACCCCTTTATTGGTCTGTCTTTCTCAACAATACATTTAAGAAACATAATGAAAAAGATCAGATAATATGAGGTATCCCAAATTAGGGGCTGCATCCTTCAAAGGACACAGTAGAAGCAGATTGGGTCCTTAAAAGACCTAAAAAAACATGGAGACTGGAAGTAATAGTCTGCGAATTGGAACAGTCTAACCTTCAGCAGCAGTCCGGCGCTCTCACCTCAGCGTAATTTTGTTTACCTAGCAACCGTTACAACAAGGCACATGAAGTCTGCACATTGTTTTTAACATGATTTATCCCGAATATCATTCATCAGAGAAAGACACAAATCTTAGGCAATCCAAACTAATATGGCATCATTGTTATGACTAGTCTTAAAGAAAAAGTAAAACGTGCAATACAGAAAAGTGAAAGCAAACTTCAATTATTCTTTTGATAAAGATAAGGGGGTCTATTTTGATTTTAAATGGAAGATGTCGAAAAAACAGGACATGCCTTCACCATTGTGTTTTAAAAACCTTTAAAGAGCTGATGAAAAACTATTGTTTCTTTATTGATAACAGCTTCAATATTTATGGCTGGATCCTAACACTTTGGCCTATTTTTTATTAACTTAATCCTTGAGGAACTGCAGCTGTTCTACATGGCTACAGGCATGCAAGGATTAGCTACAGTTATTTATCTAATTCCTCCAAAAGAGTTAAATAAATTCTAATCCTAAAGTTTATCTTAAAGATTCACGGAACATCATAAGGAAGTCCTATATAAGCCAAACATGGTCATTTCGATTGCTTTGAATACAAAGCAAACCACACGTCATGGAGACAAGCTGGAGTGGCCGAGCATCCACCCCAGTGGACACTGGATCACCTACATAAATGGCCACCGATAGTATGTAATGACAGGGGGGCTGTGTGTTCAACAGGCTGGTCTGCAGCACAAAGAACTGTGCTGGCATAATTCCTGTTCATTTTCTTCAATGCAGACCTTTCCATCCACTTCCCAGGCTGCCACCATTGGACATTTTCAGAATACCCGATAATAGCCTCAGCCTGGGAATGTTGTGCCTAAATTTAGGTTATTTCTCATCTTGTTTTATCTTATTTTATGTCATTTTATTTTATCCGGGACTTTTTCAAATTTAAAACACTGACACATTTTACAGCCAGTAAAACATTTAATGCATATTCAGCAGCCTAAATTTCAATAGACAAAACTGTTATAAAAGTATAAAACATCACTATAACTCTGGATATTGCTGAAACTTCAAGCACAACCAGGTGAGGTTATAGACAACATGAACCACCATAATGTTTGGGCTGCGTGATGAAAAAATAAATGCATAACTACACAGCTTGAACTTGATTAATTTACTTTAAGTCAGATAATAACAAAAGAATAAAATACGCAGAAACATTTCTGAGATTTGAAGTGACATTGTGGTTTTAAATTTAGATACTATAGCACATTTTATTACAAGATTACGTGCCAGGGTCACTATCCTTTTAAACTTTTATCTATTTCAAAGTCAATAAATGCCCCAACCCAGAAGGTAAAGCTAAGAAGAAACAATGAGAAGATTATTAGGATTACTAAAAGCACTGAATCATCCAAAAGCCTGACAATTCACTACAAGTCATATCGGCAATAGTTTACAGCCTTCTTTATCAACTACTATCTTTCCTGATAGCTTATCAGAAGTACGGTAATGAGCTCAGATACATGAACGAAAGACTTTGTTTCATCATCAACATTTGATAAATGATCTTTAAAAAAGCAACATGGCACGTTAGCAACGAGAGTAAAATACGCCAGAGTAATGGAGGGCAAAAAGTTATCATGTGGAAAAGTGGGTTTATCATCATATAACTAATGAATACAGCTTATTTCAATACAAATAATAACAATGACATTTTTTTATTTAGCTGAATTTAGGATCTACACCAGTAAAAGCTTTGCTGAATTAAGTAATTATTGGTTATGTTTTGCCGATTTTTTCCGAGTTTGTTAATATGCTTTGGTTAATTATTACACTGTAATATTTTTCATACAGACAGTGATAGCATGATTTTTTTTTTATATTAGTTATTAAAAAATAAAGTCCTTTTAGAGTTTCTATTCAAAGGAGAACCAACCAAAGGTTTGGAAAAACTGAAAGTTTGATTCTGCATTTACAGCTGAGCCAAAGGACTATCAGGTTCGTTTGTTCCACTCACTCACTGTTGTTGAGTAAATAGACATGAAAAATGAAGCACATATTAGGAGAACTTCCTGTACTTTTTTTTAATGCTAATTTAAGGCATGCTTCGTAAAAAGGAAACTTAAGGAAAAATGTTTAAAGCTCTCAAATCATCCCCCTGACCATCCCTACTGTCTAAACTGAAAGTAAATTCTGAGGCATCATTAAAGCTGCATTTTTTCACACTACTGAAAGTCAAGGCAGGTGACAGCATGATCAGAAGGAATGAATATGCGTTATCTGAGAACTCGTGAAAGAAAGAAAAGCAGCAAACTAAGCCCTTAAGGGGTTACTTCCTTTAATTAAGTTTAGTGTTAATTCTTCAATAAGAGAGAAACTGGGCAAGGTGGCAAAACAGAAGGGCCCATCTCACACAAAACATTACAGAGATCACTAAAATCTTTTACAACTAGTATGCAATTAACACAACAATGGATCCTTATGGATCAAACTCAAGCAAACTTAATCCACCTAAAAAAAGGAGTGGCCTAGTCCGAATTCAGACTTAAACTTAATTGCAATGCTTGCTTTTAATTGACAAAACAACCCAAAAAAAAAGTCTTTCAATTTGTCAGAATTCTATTTTATTTCTACAAAGGAGAGTAAAAAAAATGCTTAAAGTAATGTGAAATAAATAATATAGCAAACCCTGGATGGAGGTTGTTTTTCTCCAACAGTGGTTGCGTTAGGCAATACGCAAGTGGTGTAAATATGTTTACATAGGGTAACGTGGGCATTAAGCGGCAAAAAAATCTATAATCTAGAAAAAGAAATATATATATATACATTCTACTTTTTCCTAAACAGATTAAACAAGGTGAACATATTTTTAACATTTAATCTTATCTCAACAATTTAAACACCTGTTTACAACTCATCACTCTTTTTCACGGTCATGGTGAAGTAACCAATATAGAGCATAGCGTTGCTCAAAACTAATTACATGCAATTTGGCAGCTAAAACGCATCCTGTCAACGATCTGCACAAACTCAAGTTAACTTTTATATTTCCCTACGGCTGTTAAAAATACTGTATTTAACAAGGCATGGAAACAGTTTCTTGACACACCCTTTCTGAACATATTTCACTGAATGGGAACCTGGCATGTGACAATGAAATTACCAAAAAATGTGAAGGATATCTCTTTGTTTTGACCCATTTTGATTATAGAGAAAGAGTAACTCCTGTATGACAGACTCAGCTGTTAGGAGAAATGACATGAAATCAGCCATCTAGCACTCACCTCATTGACCAGTCATCTCATAGGCAGGCATTGTGTAACCTTAGACGGAGCCCAATTAACACCCAGCTTAATTAATGCTGAGAGTCACGAATTGATTTTTTTTTTTCCAAACACAAAATATTTTTTACCCACTAAAACATATCAAACCTTAAATGGAAAAAGTTAATAGTTGCGTTTAAGGATTTGTTCAACACAAAGCCATTTTAAATTCTGTTTAAAATTAACCAACAGAGCAGTAACAGCAACAGGTGACGAATTATCTACTTAATTATTTACCAGTTGCTGTTAATAATTGGTGCTTTTTATCCAGAAAAAGGACAGATGATTGATCCTTAGAACGTATTTAGAATAACTGAACATTTAGGAAACGAAACCAGGAGGGGAAGTCCCTTAAAGCCAATGGAGAAAAGAAATAAATTCAAACTTTCTTACAGAGTAGTTTTTTTTTACTACTTTACGCACTCTGGGTGATTATTTATGAGTTAGAGATTTTAAAATGTATCGAAATGTAATTCCTCAAAAAGTTTCTAAGATCTTAGGAAGTTCACATTTGTAAAATATGTCTTTGCTTCTGAAAAAGTTGAAGTCTTTCACTTACTTTTACATATTTATCCATAAGTTTATTGTAGAAACGCTTTTGTCAATTCAACCCGGAAGGTAAAAAAAATGTATATAAATGTAGAGACAGTGTTTAATGAGAAAATACAAATATTATAAGTCATAAGAATCCTAATTAATGGAAGTTCCCAAATAAACTAGAGGGATGAACATACAGAGAAATGAGTTTCTGACAGAGGAAAATGTTTCTAAAAGCATTTCCCGTTATGGCTTCATGCGATGCGTAAAGTCCTCCGCTCCACCAGACCCCATGATGAAGAATAGAAGAACATATTTAAAGGGAAAAAGTTAGAAAGGTTTATTACCTGCTCTGGTCTGGACGCTCTGGTCAGTGAAATGTGTCAGATTAATAATCCTAACTCGGCTGTCCTGAGGCAGCATAGCGGTAATCTGCAGCTCACAGGGCGGTGACTTCTCAGTTGCGCCTGTTTGTCTTTCCTCTCTGTCAACTGTCGCAAGATCTTTACTGTGAACAGCCGCCCGACGTCATTCCTCACTTGCAATTCTGTTTTTGCAAATATTTGCTATTATCCAATTTTAATCAACTCAAGAGTACATTTATTTTTAAAGTGTTTGTAGGTTCACGTTAGAGTGATATGTTTGAAGTTTTGAAATGCACCAAATGGAAAAAAATGGGATTTCATATCACAGTAAAGCAGAATACTAAAACCTACGGAACAGGATTAGTACGGAAGAGGATTAGGACCACTGGAAAAAAAAAAAAAAGTTTACTGATTAAATTTTATTTCAGTTTAACATGGGGAAAAAAGTCAGGATTCAGACTTTTTTCTCAGAATTCTGACTTTTTTTCCTAAAATTTCTGACTTTTTTCTCAGAATTCTGAAATTTGTTCTCAAATTTCTGACTTTTTTCTCAAAATTCAGACTTTTTTTCTCAAAATTCTTAATTTTTTCTCAAATTTCTGACTTTTCTCAGAATTCTGACTTTTTTCTCAGAATTCTGACAGATAACAAACAGGTTAGCATCAAGCAATAGCCATGTCTGTTTTAGAGACTAGCTCTCTTGTTTTAATGACTTTCTCAAATGTTGACTTTTTTCTCAGAATTTTGAATTTTTTCTCAGAATTCTAACTTTAATCTCAGAATTCTGACTTTTTTCTCAGAATTCTGACTTTAGTCTCAGAATTCTGACTTTAATCTCAGAATTCTGACTTTTTTCTCAGAATTCTGACAGATAACAAACATGTTAGCATCAAGCCATAGCCATGTTTGTTTTAGAGACTAGCTCTCTTGTTTTAATGACCTTCTTGCTCCTCCATTAATGAGGGGACCCCTCAGGCACGTAAAAAGTTGCCTAATTCCATCATTTTCCACCAATGTGTCACTGGCCACCTCAAACAGCTCACATCTTTGTCAGTTAAGCTGAGTGCTCCCACAGTCTCAATTCTGAGATTAAAGTCAGAATTCTGAACATTGAAAAATCCCCATATCTGACCCAAAACCACATAAAAAGCTGTGGAGCATTGTAGATGAGCTACATCAGAGCCAGCAATGCAGAGCAGCTGAAAGGAAAATTCAGGAAATCAAGGATTTTAATTAAATTGTGTGTTTTCTTTGTATTTTAAAGATCAACATAGACATGAATGTGTACTCAAACAGAAGAATACAAGTTAAAAGTGTTTAACTAAACACTAAACTTTGAGGAATGTCATATCTGACTGATTCTTCAATCAAATGAACAAACTGAATTTGACCAGTCTGTTTTATTATAAAAAAAAAAATATATTTTATCAAAGACAGTTTAGGTCTAACAGTACAAATACAGAAACAGGTCTACCTTTAAAAGGTCATTGAAAAGTATTGAGAGGAATGTCTCTTCACCAGAATTCTTAAAATAAAAAATAAAAAATCAGTGAAAGAGTCTTTTTTTTTATTTGGAAATCGTTATGTTTTGTTTTTAAGATTCGAAGATTTTAAGAAATTACAGATGGGCCTAAGCAAAAGACTGGAACCTGCTCTATAATTTGCTTTAAATCTTGAAGTTTTCAGTGGGGATTTATTTGTACAACCTTAAAAGCTTGTTGTACAGTACAGGTCTGTTTATGAAAGAAAATACATAGAAAAAGGAAAAACTTTTTACAATTCTGGTAGGTTAATCAGACAGAAATAGCAAAACTACAGTAAAATTCTCAGAGACTCCATTGATGCTACAAGCAACAAAGAATAATTGACAGCAGTAATAGATTAGATCAAATTTTTTATATAAAAAAGAACAACAATTCTAGCTCTGAAAAGGGTTTCATAGATATTTAAATGTTTCTCATATACAGGAAATTTAAACTCAACCATTTTTAAGTTTTTAAATGTCGGAATGTATTTTAGTCATGTAAAGAAAGGTAAATGTCAGTTTAAATGCCAATACAAAATGACAGGAGTGTATTATGTGGAAATAATGAAATCATTTCCATTTGCCGGCTGTACTTCAACATTTTGATAAAGAGAGACAACAGACCGCAACAAAGAGCAACAGCATATCTGTTTTCCATTGTGGGCTGACTAAAGAGAGACTCAGACATTTAGAAAAGCTGTAACAGGCGATTATTAACCAAGGCACAGCACCTCTGACTGTTTCACCTATATGTAATATAGGTGGGACGGGGACAAACTGATAAGCTGGAAATTATATACTGATGCAACTCCTCTGCTTCTTGTTCTGCTGGAATGTGATCAAAGTTGGAGGCTTTTATTCATGAATACTAACTTAAACCATCAGGTTATGAGTTAAAAGGATAAAATATGTAGTATTCATTAATAAAAACCTAATAGTTGTGTGGCTTTGTTCAGTAAAAATAGTAGCTTTGATTTTCAAAAATATTGTTAGGATTTATTTCTTTTATTTGTGTAAGAGAGTAGCAAACCCTGTCAGAGTGGAATTTTTTTATGATGATTTATGGTCGGTTAGAGTGATTAGTATGAAGGTGTGTTACTATGAACAGGTTCACTGAGGACTTTGGGAAATTTGAAACCATTCAAGCTTTCGCTCTGCATTCAAGTCAACATGTCTTAAAAAGTCAAAGCACTTCAAGGAAATATGGAAATTTTGCGTAAAATCTAGGCCTGTGCTTAGGCTGAGCAGTTTTCTGCATGTACAAATGCCACTGGTTGGTTTGGAAGAAAGTGGATATACAACTGCTAGGTATGTTAGATTAAACCAAGTTTAAAAATCTCAGCTGTTTCTAGGGATTTCCAGCCTATCAACAACCACCCTTTTGTTAACTAAATTACCAAGATAGATCAACATTTTATCGAAATTCTGATTTACTGAGAGGAACCTATAACCACAAGTAAAAGATTGGACAATCACATAAATTATTGAACAAAGAGATGGCAGCTAGAATCAAACAGTGCTTTTATTCATTTGATCCTCCAGTCTGTAAAGAGTACGCATTAATCCAAGTGGAAGAAACGTTAATTTCCCAGGGAAAGCCAACGCATCAGGTCTGCATTAAAATATTCAGTAACGTTTAAACCTTTAAAGGAAAATCTTTGCTTTAATTTATTTTAATTGCAGGTTTAAATGTCAACATGTTGCCCACATATTTGACCTTACTTATAGGTGCATGCATCATTTTACCTTTCTTATCAATGGTCTCTGAACTCACGGCCATTCAACTTTTCCTTTCATGATTCAGCATACAAAGTCACATACTGTATGGCTCTCTGATTGATTTCATTTCATTTGAAAGAATACGGAGGTCCTTAAAAATACAAATCAGATTTAAAAAAAACAATGCAGCAGCATACACAAGAAAAAAATATTGTATATGCTCCTGTATCAGTAACTTATAATTAAGTTCTAAATCTAACATGCATGACAGGTTGCTGGTCATTTTCCCCCTTCTGTCATATCATAAATTTTCAGTTTTGTTCTTTAAGCAACTAAATTAAGCTATTTTCCAAGGATGGTTTTAGAATAGCTACTTGGACAACTTTTATTATCATTTTGTATACAAAGAGTGTTTACTAAACAAATTTTCATTTTGTACAGCTTTCAGACAGTAAATGAGCAGCAGCTTAGCAGTGAAATGAACATTTCCATTCCATAGAGTGCAGCAGTGATCAAATGTAAACAGTGTAGGAGAAAAATGCATGATGCAAAACCTACTTATCCTGCAACGGATGCTGAGAAAATCAGTAAATTAGAAAAAGATTTGACAATCTACTTATAGTGTGCTAAGAAAGTAATGTGATAAGAAAATGTTATGCATTTAGAATATGACACCTTTAAAGAATATTATGAAATTCAATGAAATGTATTAAAACTGCACATATTTATTAGTCTTTCAGCAGTTTGATACATTGGTGATGTCATAGCGTGGCACAATGGGAAATGCAAAGAAAGTACACCTCTGAATAAAGATAAACAAACACCACAAAGTGATGGAATAGTATCATATAGACACTGGTTAAATATGATTAGCGGCAGCTAATAACTATGAAACACTCGTCACACTTTGCAGCCTAGATGTGTGACACCAGAGGAAAGGCCCAACCTCTTACGGAACATTTATATTTGGATGGAAATGTTGTAGCATAAAAGGTATGATTTAATGAAGAGATTAACAGGTTAACAGAGGTTAAACCTTATGCAGCAAATATACATTAAATTATCTCAAATGCTGGAGAGAAGCTTAATATTGTTTAATGTGTAACCCCAGCATCAGCACAGGCTACTTAAGGTAACATGGAGTAATAAAACCACCAACAGAAATCTGACGCTACTGTAATTAAACCACTGAATAGCTTTGCTGTAATTCATTTTACTGGTGGCTGTTGAAAAGGTGCATAGCATTTAGTTTGAACTTGGTCATTGTCAAAATATATACCCCTTAACTTTACACTCTAGAAATATCTTCAGTGTTTTATTTAGCAGAGAAGTAAAAACCTCATGAATCCAGAAAAAATGTCATCGCCTCAATGTAAATTCTCCTGAACTGTCCTTTCTCTGTGGAACGACACAAACACCTGCTTAACCAGTAATCAAGACAGTATCTAGTTACATCTGAGACAAAAGAAAACAAAGCCTGAAAGAAATGATATATCAGATAACTGATGCTTATGTAATAAAGTAATTCAATCTAGGAGGAGGATTTGAATATCCTGTATTGTTTTTCAGTCTTCGTTTAGTATTTACTCAGAGATATGTTCCACTTATTGATTTAAAGACAAAAAAATAGAGAGCTAGCATGCAACAAAAATTATATTCAAGGTCTTCTGGATTTCTCATCCAAAGCCTGTTAAATTCAAAGTTTCATTTAATCCATTTCCCCCACAAGTTTAGATGTTTTTTGGTTGAAACATATTTTACTTTAACGTTATTATGATGTAATATCATAGACTATGTTGCTTTATAATATTACTCATCAGATCATTTTCTCTGTGGAGCTCTCTTAACCTTTGTTTGCATATTTGTTTTTCTTTGAAAACATCTATTTTA